GATCCAAGCAAAATGAAGTCTTTGACTTCACTCTTTTTTTCATTTATCTTGATGCTATTTGTCCAGTTATGAGGTCTTTACACATTTCATTATAATACTTGACTTTGTCTTCTTAAGTTGCCCTTTGAAATTTTCTATTCAGCTCTTTTACCTCCTTATTTTTTACATTTGCTTTAGCTTTTCAGTGTTCAAATGCAAGTTCCAGAGTCTCTTCTGACATCCATTTTGGTCTTTTCTTTCTTCCTTGTCTTAATGACCTTTTGCTTTCCATTTGCACAATGTTCTTGATTTCATCCCACACCTCCTCTGGTCTTCGGTCTTTAGTGTCTAAAACATCAAATCTGTTCCTGAGATGGTCTTTAAATTCAAGTGGGATATATTCAAGGTCATATTTTGGTTCTAGTGGCCTTGAATTAATTTTCTTCTGTTTCAGTCTAAACGTCCACATGAGCAATTGATGGTCTGTTCTGCAATCGACCCTGGAATTGTTTTGGCAGATTATATTGAGCTTTTTCATCTTCTCTTCCCATAGATGTAGTCAATTTGATTCCTGTTTATTCTATCTACAAAGAGGGTTGTTGCAGTTAGGTGTCATCAGATTGATACCAACTAATAGCGACCCTATGCACAACAGAACAAAATATTGCCTGGTCCTGCACCAACCACACAATCAATGCTACCCTTGAGCCCACTGATGCTGCCACTGTGCCAGTCCATCTTGTGGGGGTCTTCCTCTTTCTCTCCGACCTTCCACTTTACCAGACATGATATACTTCTCCAGGGACTGGTCCCTCCTGATAATATGTCCAAAGTATGAGAGACGAAGTCTGGCCATCGTAGCTTCTAGGGAGCATTCTGGTTGTACTTCTTCCAATATAGATTTATTTGTTCTTTTGGCATACCATGGTACTTTTGATATTCTCCTCCAACACCATATATCTATTTTATAGGATTTGGCAAATGGGATCATCAGAAAAAGTAAAAAAGTTTTATCATTCTACTTCTAATCAAGATCTGACTTTTGATACTTAGCCATTTCATTTTCCATTTGTGTTACCACTATATGTTTCCTTAATCAGTGTGATCTCCGTGGTGGACTACAAAAAGGACTAATGTGAGCACTGTGTATGGCTATTGTTATAGTACAGGTTGATTCTAATCCTTGCTGCTAACATGTGTTATGTGCACTACCATCTCATTTTGAAGTAATTTAATCCAATTTAAAAAAATAAAGTGACTTGCTATTTTTAGTTTAAGCAAACAGTATTAAAAATATAGATTGTTTCAACAGCACATTCTTACAAGTATATATGCATGTTTGTAAGACTATTATTGTACCTCCTGCTAAGTCTAAGAATTGTTGTTGTTGTTGTTAAGTGCCATCAAGTCGGTTCTGACCCATAGCGACCCTGTACAGGGTTTCCGAGGGTGTAAATCTTGACGGGAGTAGAAAGCCTCATCTTTCTCCCTCTGAGTGGCTGGTAGTTTCGAACCGCTGACCTTAAGGTTCGCAGCCCAATTCGTAACCACTACGCTAAGTCTAAGAATAGGCACATTCAAAGAGGTGTATTAACTGTATATGTCATAGTTAGGCAGAGGCAGGATACACAGTGAGTCCCATGATTCAAATCTGAAGCACCTTCTACTATGCTATGTTGTTGTTGTTGTTAAGTGCCTTCGAGTCGGTTCCGACCCATAGCGACCCTGTACAGGGTTTCCGAGGGTGTAAATCCTTACGGGAGTAGAAAG